TATGCACACATTGATTAGAAGTGGGCGAATATGTACAAATACATCTATTGAGTGGCCTTGCATGCATGCATGCATGCACGCATGCACGCATGCATGCATGCATGCATGCATGCATGCATGCAAAGCCTAGCGCTGAAGATCTTTTTTGTTGGTCTCTTTGGCACTTTATTTTTTAAAGCTTTATGTTCAGTTCATCAACATTAAAGTTTATTTCTTTCTTTGTTTCCCTTCCCGCACTGAACCGTTTTATCTTCTTTTCTTTTATTTATTTTATTCTTTACCCTTTGCCTTTTGCTGCTTCTGGGGGCCCCGAGCTCCCCTGTTGCTGCTGCTGCTGCTGCTGCTGCTGCTGCTGCTGCAGTGCTGCTGCAGTGCTGCAGCTGCGTGCATGCAGGGCAGCAGCACTTTGGGCCTGCCTGTCACAAACTGACTTAGACTGGCGCCGCTGCCGTCGCTGGCAGCTGCCGCTGCAGCTGGCGGCTGCTGCTGCTGCTGCTGCTGCTGCTGCTGCGCAGTTGCTAGAGGCCGCTGCTGAGCTGCTGTGGACTTGCTGCTGCTGCTGCTGCTGCTGCTGCTGCTGCTGCTGCTCTCTAAAGCGCATGCAAAGCACTTGGACCCGCAGCAGCGCCGCTGCAGCACCGCAAACCACTTTTGGGAGTTCAAAAAAAAATGAAATTAATTTGAAGTCCGAAACCAAGTGCGCAGCTAGCGAGGTGTACGTACACCCGAAATCAGCAATTTCGCGAGACTGCCGTGAGGTGTACGTACACCTGAACTCGCTATCTGGAGTGTACGTACACTGGATTTTTTAAAACCCCAAAAAACTTCTTCGGGCTTTAGAGTTTGCCTAGCAGCTGAATCCCCCCGAGGGTTTAGGGTTTAGGGTTTCCCGGAGAATCTAAGTAGACATATCTCTATCCCTCTATCTCTATTTCTTGCTGCTCTTTCTGCAGCAGCAGCAGCAGCAGCAGCAGCAGCAGCAGCACACTTTGCCTCTTCCGGCCTATTCACTTCACCCAAAAGTCTTCTTTGCCCCTGCGGGACCCCTGGGGCCCCCCGGGGCCCCAGACTCTTTCCTACAGCTATTCAAGGGGCCCCTGGGGGGCCCCTGGGGGGCCCCTGGGGGGCCCCCGGGGGGCCCCTGGGGGGCCCCTGGGGGGCCCCCGGGGGGCCCCTGGGGGGCCCCAGACCCTTTCCTGCAGCTACAAGGGGGGCCCCCGGGGGGCCCCTGCACTTCAAAGCCCCGTTCTAATTGATCTTTGTAATGTGTTTAAAGAGGGGCCCCCCGCAGCCACTTGGCTGCATGCAGAGGGGCCCCTGTGGGGCCCCCGGGGCCCCATCTAGTACCCTTGGGACATGGGGGGAGGCAGGGGGCCCCTCATGGGGGGCCCCCCTTGAGGCGCAAACCCTGTACCCTGCTGCACTGGGGGGGGCCCCCCAAAGGCCCCGGGGCGGGGCAGAGGAGGGGCTGGGGGCATCCCAAAGGGCTGGGGGGCCCCCGAGGCCACTGCTGCCATGGGGGCCCCCATGGGGCCCCCCATGGGGCCCCCCATGGGGCCCCCCATGGCTGTTGCTGCTGCTGGCCCTGGGGGGGGCGGGGGG